AGTATATCAAAGTATTTTTGTACAGTTATTGGTTACGGAGAAAAATAAAAAAATGGTAAATTTAAAATTCCCATGTTATTCTTATGGAGAATATTGTAAAATGTTGTAGTTTGCTTGTTTATGGATATCTTTTGATCAAACTTGGCAAATATATTCATTTTATACTAAGCAATAATTATTTTACTTAAAACACACACTTTATTAGTTTCCTTGTAGCAGCAAACCTAGGTACTCGTTAAACCTAATGTTATTTAAATAGATCAATTGAAAATCAATTCAGCCAAATGGAAATTCGCTTAGGCGTCAGGTTTGCTGCGGCGGGGGTATTATTTCCAATAATATTGAATGGAATAAAAAGTTTAAAAGTATGTTAATGTATTCTTCAGAGCGAGACCACACCCTGTACTACATTAAGTTACAATTTGATTAATCTGTATTAATGTATGCAGTTGTTTTGATGTTCATAATTGAAGTATTGAACTGGTAGTGAAATATACTGTAGATAGAGAACTTTGATTGTATCAGTCTGAGTTGGAATCCCTCTGACCACTAAAGGATCTATGATGGATACCTTCAACAAAGGAATTTACACTATCTTTAAAATGATGATCCTGCTAATCTATGATGGTGAACTTGAAAGCTATCACCAACTCGGTCAGATGTAATATGACAAAGATGCTAAGCTATCTACAATAATAATTATTAACAGCCTTTCTAAATAAAATAAGTTTACTTTTGTTGATAAAAAGAAAATATTAAAAAAATATCAGTATTATCATCGATAAGTATACCAGTTCATCGGTCCTATTTTGTTATTTTCTAATACAAATATTCTTATAAATTGTTTACTATCTCTTTTATGAGCAAAACAAGAAATTCATTGCGATAATTTGGTAAGGGGTGATTACAATTATTACGGTGTGCTGAGACGATCGGTTAGGTTAGTTTATGGTCATAGTTTCAGTAGTACTTTAACTGAGTGATTTTCAATACAGCAATAAGTCACGATGTCAACCATCAAAATATCTCACTTTATATTGACATATAGAACTCATCACTCATCTCATAACTTTGTAGATTATTATAAGATCTCCAGGTAATATACTGCTGGGCAGTTACAGCATCACTGAGGTCACACGGCTCAGTTAGTATTTCTCGTTTTGTACTAGAAATGCATTTTCTAGGGATTGCTTGACTTAATCATCAAGTTAGGTTAGTTGAAACTAAACCAACGTGTCTGACAAGGCCCAGATCAAAGTTATATCCGTTGATGCGATCTACTCATTTATGCTGACAGTTTACAATTACATAGCAAATTGCAAGCAAACATGAGCTTTCAAATATTTAAATATAATAGATGAGTGAACGAAGTGAACGAATCTATGTATCGTGTTCGTGTCTAGCGGAGTCGGAGAAAAGTTGTGTGTCTGTGTGTTCGCACCAAAAACTCAAGAACCGTCGCACTTATAGCGTTCAAATTTTGCACAAATAATTATGACACGACTGGGAAGACCTCATTAAAATTCTAGACGATTCCGCTCAGTAGTAATTATAAAATACTTAAAAAACATTTTTAAATTTGTCCCATAAGAATAACATTAGGAGCTACCTTCTTCTTCTTTGTATTTGTTTACGTTTTGCGACCAACAATTTTGTTGTCAACTCTAAAGACAGAGAGAACAACTTTTATTCTAAGCTCTTTCATTCATGGAGTAAACAGTTTGGCGTCTATGAATATATATCATTATAATTTCACAGCTTTCAGAATAATAAATTGAACTTTACTATATTAGTCGGCATTAATTTGTATACAGATTATGTACAGTATTAAAACTCAGCTTTACATCACAAATATGAATACATTTACTATTAAGCAGCTGTTTACATTGTTTAATTTAATGTTAGTCTATTTTTATATTAAAAAACATGCTGTTGGCAAACCAACAGGCAAACCTGTATGCAGTTCTAGAATACAAAATAATAATTTTACAAAATTAAATCACAACGGCTTTGGTTTATATTCAAGTTTTAAAAGTTAAATTAAATAGGCCATAAGATGAGAACAGATTTAACATATTTATTCGTGTTTGCGCTTGGGCGGAAATAAATAACCTATTAAATTATTAGGCCTATATGCTGCGTTGAGAAAATGTAACGACGTCATCGCTTAACAAAACTTATCACCTATTTCACCTATTTTATCTGTAATAAACTGTTTTTGAAACATGATCATAGTAGTATACAGGTAAGTTGATAGCTTTCACTGGTTTCAGCTACCAGGAAAAATAAACAGTTTTCTCTGATAAGTTAATTGATTGCCTACCTTAAATAATTTGTCAGGGAACTGATTAAAACACAATGTTAATTTATTGATCAACAAATTAATTCCCATCAAAAAAATAAAATTATAAATGTCCCAAATTTTAACCAAAGATGTACAGTTATGAATAAATCGCATTAAGTACTGCATAAGCAAAATCATTGATAAAAAGTTAACGATGCCTACAGGGTACGAAGTGGTCACCTGGCGTTTATCAGCCGAGTGCGCTATCCACTACAACACGAACAATTTTAAAATCAATGACGACACGGTTGTGTTGTTCCTTGATCCCAGTAACTAGCCCGGCAACAATGCTGGCAAACAGATGAAGACGAAGACCTTTCCACGATCCCAGTGGCTAACCCGCTTCAACAATGGTAACTTAGCTGCTGTTGTGCATACATCGGTTTGCCATTTGATTTTGAATGTTGAATTGTATAGTAATACAACCATTACTGTATACTAACTTACTTCTAGAATACAGGAAAATTCTTCGTACAAGAGGTAAGTTAATAATAAAATAACGATATTACTCTTTATAGCTGTTTGTTTAATAATACAGGTTACTACAAAATTAATAACAATCTGTCCTGTGTGGCATGCATTACTTGGTGAAATTCCTGCCGATGGATTAGGCTAATCGTTGCTACACGTTGAAAACAATTAATTATTGTTAAATAAGTAGGCCTAAATGTTGCTAGGAGAACATGAAAGGTGGTCGTTAAAATCACTACAAGATAATTTATACCAATAAAAGTCACACAGCACTTTACTTATTTAGATGTAAATAAGTAACATACTTGGCCTAGGCCTTTTTAGACCTGAAAATACAATGCTGAGTTTACTAAGTTAAATTGTTGAGGCATTAGGCCTATATAGACCATATTAAGAAAGGACTTAGCATATCTGTGTCAACTTAGATGAAAATGAATAACCAATTATTAAATTAAACTTAGGCCTCTATATGCTTTGTGGTTTAATTAATAAGTATTAGATGTAAGTATGTCTTAACAAAAATACAAGGCCTAGCCTACCACCAATTTATCAATACTGTAGGCTACTTACTAATCTGTAACACTAACACTACACACTATTGCATAACATTAAACCTTAGTAGTCTACAAGTAAGTTGATAGGTTTCACTGGTTTAAGTTAGTTTAAATAATTTTACAAATCGATTAAGTACATTAACTCAGCATATAAATACTTAACTTTAACAGTCTGTTTGGGAAATGATTAAAAAACAAAGTTAATAACAAATAATTCTGTTCATAAAATAAAATTATAAATGCCTCAAATAAAAAAAGTAGCCTACAGCAAAGAATAAATCACATTCTAAGCAAAATTGTTGTCAAAAAGATAGTGATGCAGATGGGATTCGAACTCGGACCTCTAGGTTGACAGCCGTGTACTCTAACCACTACACCACGACAACAGTTTGCTGACAGTCAGTATCGTTGTGCTAATGGAATTACCAGCTGGTACACATGTTTGCTAGCCACCTAAAACTAGCCTACCTACATAATATATTATTTAAGATCTTTTAATTACTATTAGCATTTGGCTATAAACAGAATGCTATTAGACAACTCAAGGCTATGCTAATGATTTTCTGAGCAAAGCTTTGATTCCACGGTCTATTATTTAAAATAAATTAAGAATTATTGAGCGTAGCCAGGGAATCTCGTATATTACTTACACTCCCTTTTTTGATTTTGTACATAATCCTCGCGGAGGCTGAAGTAAACAGGAAATTTAACATAGTCGTAGTAACTAACCAAAAGACTACACGCGACAAAAACTAAAGACTATTTGCGGGGAAGGCATTAATCCAAAATACTAGATTAGTACAAATTGGAATAAAGGGCTTTTCTATACGTGAATTTAAACTTTTAGAAATTTAATAAGAATCTTAAGAGGTTTATTGGTCATCATGGCATTATTTTCAATATAGCCTAACAATTAAAAGGCAAACAATTAAAATATTTGTAACATTTTATGTTAGTCAACAAATCATCTAAACTAGCATTACAAATACAGAACAAAAGGGCAAACAATCGGATTATAATACCTTGAGCACAATTTACTCAAAAAGAATAGGGTAATAAATTAGGGTCACCAAAATTAGTCTAATGTATTATGACTTAAGTTACTTTAAATAGCCATTCAATTTATGTGAATCAAATGTACCATTTGACTTTGGATAATGCAAACAGGCATTTCAATAATGTGAAGATTATATAGCCTACCATTGACTAGAGTAATTTTGTCTATGGTTTTACCTATAAGTCAGGTATTTATCAGATTGTCAACACGAATTAGGATTTTACTGTTCATTTATTTACTCAACAACTTCAATATGTTACCTATTTACTTTAGATTTCAGAATTTAAAATATTACATGTAGCCTACTAAAAAATCAGGCTGAATGTCCATTCTATGTTGATAGAATGTTTTAAACAAAATTAGGTACCGTAATCAGTTATTAATAAAGGTCATGTAATAAGATGTACAGTACCGGCAAGTATTAAATTTGATTACCCATACAATTGACACATACAACAATAATCTGTGTAATATTAAGCAACAATTAGTGTTGTGTCTGGTATTATTTATTGTTTTAGAGTTTGTTACACTAACTAATAGAATTCAAATGTTTTTGGTGTGATGATACAACTAGATGCCTCGAATGAAGAAGAAAACAAAACAAACTAAGCAAAATGATTCGGCTGGAGCAGCTAAATCCAGAAAGGAAAAGGCTCGATTGCGAATGCAAAAGTTAAGGTAAGTGTGGTAGAGTTTTACATTTTCACAAAGAATATTTATAAAAAATAAAATTATTCATGGTGGCAATAGAAGTGTTGAATATTTCTTCTCATATTCCTCTCATCCTCACATTCGCTGTCGCCTATTACACCAAGTTTATTTACTACACACAAGTTCCAAATAAACACTGAAAGATAATTGTATAAGAATTAGACACACATTCATACGTTGCCCATTTTTGGACCATATCTTATAATCACAAATGGAAACTTTGAACTTATTTATCTAAATTATAAAAGACAAGCATATACAGTAAGTTGAAAGTTATTTATCTATTGATTATAATTCCAGATCTTGCGAGACTCCAGATCAGGCGTTTCATCGCCGAATAAAAAACACCCAACGAATGGCCATAAAAAGGTACGTATTATACTGAAAGCTTTTGTTGGAAACAAAAAATTATTATTGTACATTTTGAGTTTACCCATATGCTATAAGCATGGTATCATTTATATCTCTTTTATAAACGGCTTCTATCCATAGGGAAAAATCCCAAAGTAAAAGTTTTAAACTCCAATCTTGAACTAAACCGAGGGTAACTGCTATGCAAATTCTACAAATAATACAAGGACTTTTTTCATACTATAATGAATCTAATTTGTCCCTTTACATGTCATTATTATTTAATTGCTTTTGTGTAATATAGCTCTAATATCTACACAGAAGGCATAACAGTTAATACATTTTAGGTCAACTGAGACACCCAAAGAACAGACAAGGAGAAGAAAAATAGACGCAAAACTTAAAGCCAATATCAGGTAACTTACACAGTTTAAATAATAACATTAATCGTAAAACAACATGACATTGAATAATTTAGTATTCGCAAAAACGCAAATAGAATTTATTGCGTTTATGCTATTTCATAACGTAATTCTATGAACTCTGAAATTAAATGGCTGATTACTTTTCCATTATAATTGTAACAGATTAATAGACAAAATATAAAATTTGAAATGGGCATATATTTTATTTAAACAACAATCTTTCAATTCTTCAATTTCTTTCAATCTGGATGTTTTAATCTCAATTATTTTGAAAACGTAAAAAAAACGTTGAAAAACGCCAATCTAAATACAAGTAAAGGGAATATATTCATATCTTTGTTCTCATTCTAAATCATTCACAGGTTTATCGCTAAACAAATACATTCTCATATCCACTTATCAAATAAGACAATTTTAAAACTGGATTTCTTGCTATAAAAAACAAAAATTAACGTTTTATTAAAAAATAATAAAGCCATATACAGTATGGTAGTTACTTATCAGCGGTTTTATTACATTTTTAATCAAAATATTTTTCAAGGGCTCGAGCAACTTCGATTCAGAGGTTATCTACCCAATCGAAAGTGCTGAAAGCACAGTCCATAATACGACGGTGTTACTCTGAAAAAGAGAAACAGCGCCAGAATCACAAATGGAAACTTTGAACTTATTGATCTAAATTTTAAAAGACAAGCATATACAGTAAGTTGAAAGTTATTTATTGATTATAATTCCAGATCTTGCGAGACTCCTGATCAGGCGTTACATCGCCGAATAAAAAACACCCAACGAATGGCCATAAAAAGGTACGTATTATACTGAAAGCTTTTGTTGGAAACAAAAAATTATTATTGTACATTTTGAGTTTACCCATATCCGTTTTCTTATGTTTACCTTTTTTAAGATAGGTACATAAAGAATATTACTGTTATAATCATACAGTCAAGGGGTATGTTTGTAAAGATTTTTTATGTTGATAATTCTGGAGGGTTGAGTTAAACAAACTAGACCTTTGGTGGTAATACAATTAAAACTGCAATGCTATAAGCTACCTTACGGATCATTGCATAAAGCATTTGCATGTACAGTATCAGAAGATAATTTCTAGCCAAATAAAATTGCAATGAGACTGTTTTAATAGCTTATCACATCTGTCTTTTCCCAGACTTCAGCTTTACCATGAAAGCTACAATTACAACATCTTCATACAAGGCAAATTTGGCAAAGTTTTAAATGGTTCCGTGTTTCCTTCCATGCTATAAACGGCTTCTATCCATAGGGAATAATCCTGAAGTAAAAGTGTTAAACTCCAATCTTGAGCTAAACCGAGGGTAACTGCTATGCAAATTCTACAAGTAATACAACATACAAGGTCTATTTTCATACCATAAAGAATCTGACTTGTCCCTTTACATGTACCATTATTATTTCATTACTTTTGTGTAATAACTCTAATATCTACACAAAAGGCATTACAGTTAATACATTTTAGGGCTACTGAAACACCTTAAGAACAGTCAAGGAGAAGAAAAACAGAGGCAATCATTAAAGCCAAAATCAGGGGAACATTAAATATAAAACAAAATGACATTGAATAATGCAATATTTGCATACAATTAAATTAAACTAACCATGTATACACGCTATTTATTATCCTGATTATTACACACAAATTACAAATAAATTGTGATTAAAGAAAAATAGTAAAGTAATATACAACGGTAAGTTTATCAGCGGTTTTATTACATTTTTAATCAAAATATTTTTCTAGGGTTCGAGCAACTTCAATTAAGAGTACACAATTGAAAGTGCTGAAAGCACAGTCCATAGTGCGACGGTGTTACTCTGTAAAAGAGAAACAGCGCCACTCGACTGTTAGGATACTTCGCTCTCTTCGGGGTACAAACACAGCACATTTCCGGACAATGCCTCACCGCCCTCAGATAAGGGAACAGTCTGAAGCTTTGGAGCAGTTGTTCGAAGAGACGATGCTCTCTGTGGATTGGCAGACATGTTTCCAATGTCAAAGGTCTGTCCTTAGCCATAGGAAAAAACGCTGTGGGAAGCGTTGTAGCCAGTTTTCAGCTGTCAATGACATGGACCCGGGGCCAGTTCCGGATGAACTGACTGGCTTGACTTATCTTGAGCAGCAGCTGATTGCGAGAGTGCATCCTGTTGTCAGTGTCTACCGGATCAAGGGACACCAACTAGGCTACAGCGGCAACGTCATCAACTTCCCACAAGCGGTTGAGGAGTTTGCGGCAGTTCTGCCTCACCGTATCACCAGCTTGTCTGCTGTGATTGTTGTGCGGATGAGGAACAGTGCCACTGACTACGTGGACTTCCATGTTAGGGCCAGTAAGGTAAATATCAATTACTTTTAGGGGTCCCTTGAGCAAACGGCACATTTTTGTATAATGTTCATATTTGTTTTCATTAGCAGTTACAGACAACATACTTTGGTTTACATTCCATTTAATAATCTAACAAACTTATTATTTTGAAATAGGATATAGATGAACCCTCATAGAAATACGAAGATGAATTCATGCAATATGTAAAACTAAAAATAAAAATAAGATAGACAGTGTTCTTCTTCTGTCTTATTCTAAATTATTCACCAGCTTCCCGATAAAGACCTAATGCAAAGCTAAAATATGCCAAAATAATGTTGTTTTTTTATACTCAGCTGGAATTGGATTGCTATAAAGTTAGATGGATATAATTCATACATTTTTTATAGCTTAATCTTGTTGGTCCAGCATTCATATTTGTGTTGTTTTAAAAACAAAAGTGTGCCTTTGATTTTATTAGGTTGTCCAGCCAGAGGGGAGTTAATAATTACTAAAGAAGGCTCGGTTATTCTGGTGCTTTATTTAAGTACAAGTAGGCACGTTTTAAGAAAGATCAGACTATGACGTGGTGTAATTATTAAAAAACATTACATAACAATTATTAATGAAAGAAAATTGATAGTTAAATTATTGATTCAATAGGTCAAGAAAGCCCTTATGTGGCTCAAGCAGAATAACCGATATTATTTTGATATCACAATATCTGATGAGAACATGGCGTTACTGCCTGAGGATGGGGACGCTTCAGCATTTCTGCCTTCATTTTTTGATGCATCAGAAGGGGAGTCAGAAAATCAGGATGCTTTGGAAAATGAGGTATTATTATATTTTTATTTAAAATCCGATCTGATTAATGAGATAAGCTTATTTTGCATTTACTAATATTTGGGTTAGAAGTATTAGTACAGTACTTTAACACCATGGTAAGATTTTGTTTATAATTTTACTTTTCCCATGATTGTTACGAAAAAATATTAACATGAAGTCATACCTTTGCATAAGAGAATAATCTTTATAAAACAATTATTTATCAGATTTTTTTGTGTATAGTAAATCCACTAGACTGGTGAATATTCTTTAGGAGTGATTGCATATCATAATTTAAATGTATTATTTTGTAATTATTTCATGCATTTTTTCTAATAAAGGGGGTTAGTTTAAAAAAGTAGTAAAGAACTGCAAGAAATAAACAATTAAATTTTAAACTAACTTAAAAATATAAATTTATACAGGTAATAGAAACTAGCGTTCCCAGTATGACGACACCTCACCAGGATGCCCAAGTTGCGGCTGTTCTGGATTGGCCTCCCATCGGCAGTAACCCAATTGAGGAATTCAGGACTCCGGGCTACATTACACAAGCATTTCCAGCATTGTTCCCGACTGGAAATGCAGATTTATCTAATCCTCGAGAGAGTAAGATTTCCCCAACTGAGTACTTCAAGCACCTCATGCTCTTTCATGACCACCGATTTGCCAATGATCCTCGGTTCAGGTTAGTAGTCAAACAGTTTCTAGATTTTGAGTCATTTTTCCTAATAATTGTCTTCAATCAGAATAACCAGGTTAATCATGCCACTATAAGTAAACCTCAGAAAATACGAGGAATATTATATTTTTTGCCAATAAAAAACCTGACTAATATTTTTTGTAAAAATTCACATGTTTAAAATGGTAGGTTCTGTAAAGTAAATCCATTGCAATTTAAGAAAAAGGAAGTAACCCATGATCCCCGTCGTAACATATATACAATAGAACATTTGATTATAGAAATTAAATATTTTTCAATAAATACAAATATGTATATAGAATGTTCTTTTGAGAAATGATTAATTTATGGTACACAATTCCCTCAAATAAAAACCTCTGCTCACACAATCCTGACCTAACTCAAACTGAAGTAATTTAACAGTAGTTTATAAAATGCATAATTGACAGTTTTCTCTTAGATATTAAAGTCAAAGGTAAATATCACGTAAGTGGTAACACAAAGTATACCAAGTGCAAGTCTTTTGATATTTTCAAAATATTTGTAACGTTTGAAATTGTTATTATAAGTCTGTGTAATTTGTTTTAAAGGTTTTTTGCCCTTAACTCGGAAATGAGGTGGAGCGCCCTTAGATCTGGCAATTTGTTTGTACGGCGGCATGAGGAGTTGATTGGGAAATCAATCAAAGATCTAAAAGAAATGATGAAGCGAGATCCATCCATCGTGAAAAAAATTATGTTTTATGCAAACAAGCTAAGAGGTAATTGGCGTTATTTAGTCAACTTTATAATTATTATCTATACAAAGCTTTACTTGCAACAGCCTTAAAAATTTGTCAGTCACTGACTACACATAGATGCATGACAATGTTTCCGTACCATATTTTTAACATATAGAAATTCAAACATTTATGCATAGCATATTCGCTCTTAGTATCTTGTAAGGAATATTCATTCTTTATTCCGTTTACCAATTGAATAATAAGGGATTAATATGACTTTTGTTTCTAAAACTTATGGAATTGATCAAGATTTTGTATTACCAATCTGAATACTGTAGTAGCTTTACAATCATCTGAAAAATGTTTTTAATATTTACATTAGTTTGGTTAATCAAGTAATAAAAAAGTTCATTACTTTATTTTAATTAACCTATATCATGTTAAAACAGAAGTATTGCAATATTAAAATAAATAGTTTACTTTAAGGTTATCAAATTACAGGTACTCGGCCCTACTGGCGAGCTCGGCTGGGTGAGCTTCTCGACATGGAAGCACAGCTTGGCCTGCCCACAGTGTTTTTAACACTGAGTGCCGCTGACCTTCACTGGCCAGATATTTCTCGAATTTTTGGCAATGTTGAGGCAACTGATCTTGAAAGACGTCGACTTGTGGCAGATAACCCACTTACGCCAAGTTGGTTCTTTTACGAAAGAACAGAATTCTTTCTCGACCAAATTCTCTCGAGGCAGCTTGGTGTGAAGGACTTCTGGCGACGATACGAGTGGCAGCATCGCGGAAGCCCACACATCCACATGCTTCTGTGGCTGAAGGATGCGCCCGATGTCACTCGACTATCACAGATGACAGAGGAGGAATTAAATCAGGTTGTTGGGTGAGTATTGATCCTTAATATTGAAAAATTAAAATCAACAATTTAACTTGTTTATTTATGAAAATGTGTGATATAGTATTTCCATGTTAAAAACTGCATCCAAAACTAAAACTTTTTTATTTTTTTGTAATAAACTTTAGTTCAAGTATAAGATTGCGGCAAAGATGCTAATAGTGTTAGACTTTTAAAAGTTAGTGCTTTCCCCATACGCTTTAATTTACACAAATTGATACAGAAATTTATGTTTTTATATGTGATATTAAATATACCCCCGCCACAGCAAACCTGCAGACTAAGCGAATTTCCGTTTGCCTGATTGGATTTACACTCAAATGTCTCTTTAAAATTATCACTTTTATTCCCTATTAAATATTTTTAGTTTAACGAGTACCTACTTAGGTTTGCTGCTACCAGAAGGATAAAAATGTTTTTTTGCTGTTAAACGGTAATACTGTGGTTTAATAAGAAATGAATGTATTTTCCAAATTTAATCAAAATATGTTCATAAACAAACAAACTATAACAGTTAATTTATTCTCCATAAGAATAGCATGGGAATTTTAAATTTACATTTTTTTTGAATTTTCTCCATAACCATTAGGCGCATAATAACGCTTCAATATACTAAATTATTTGTTTTTTTTAAGCTCTACATAATAATTTGGAATGAATTGTGAAATTTTGTGTTTTTAAGGTCGAAAATGGGAAAAACCTATTTTTACCCCATAGGCCCCCGTCCCCATAGTCCAATCACGCTGGTTCGCGAACTCGTTCGAATAAATGTAGGTTTACACGTTTGTACCAAATTTCATCAAAATCGGATCATTTTTGTTTGAGTCGAGTTTTTGTGCTAACGGACACACACACACATATATATATATATATATGAATTCGAACGGATGGTTTTTTTGGCCTCTAGGGAGCTCAAAACAATAAAGTAAATCGGTCCCAGGTCCAGGTCTTACCATTAGTACTACGGTAATAGCTTATTCCCTATATGGGAAATTCACTAATACACACTATCAAGTTATTTAACTATTCTGTTATAATAGGTGAGGTATTTGAAAGCAACTGTTACAAACAAAATATTATAATACAAATATTAAAAAAAAAACATTTGAATAGAAAAAAATCATATAACCATAACACAACTAGACATTCCATCCCCATTTTAAAGTTGTCGCCAGCTTTTTAATCAAATTTGTCTTAGTTGATGTGAGCAACCTACAGATTGTGCTGGTATAAATTACTGATTTCTGCTGATTACACGGCTGGTTTTTACCAAGTAAAACTAATGGAATGACTTGTAATGAACTGTAGCAACTGTTATGACCCAGCAACTTCTGTATCCAATACTCAATGCTATAACGATCATTTTCTTTAGGTATTTCGACAACCTGATTTGTACCATGAATCCGGGGCTCAACACTCCACTTGCAGAAATACATCCATGTCGGAAACGGTTGTTGGAAGTGGAAGACCGGCAAGTGGATCTCTCAGAATTGGTGAATAAAGTACAGCGACACACCCGCTGCTCTACCAGTTATTGTCTCCGAAAAAATAAAAGGACAAACCAATTAGAATGCCGGTACAAATTCCCATTTGACCTCAGTGACATAACCCACGTTTACACCAATGAGAAGGGAGTCATGGAACTTGTAACTAAGAGAAATGACGCCCTTCTTAATAAATATAACCCGTGGACGTTGCAGTTGTGGCGAGCCAACATGGACATCACGGCTGTCATGTCCAAAGATGCCTTCCTCAACTATATGGCAAAATATGCCAGTAAATCGGAGGTAAGAAAAAATTCAAATATAATATTTTTTACAATGACATATTCCTAAAGTCTTGTACAAGTAATGTTTGCTTAAGTATAATATATGTATATATGCTTTCTTGCACAATTATCTTAATAAATGTCTTTGGGTATTTCCTTCAATTGCTGAAACTCACTAATTTACTAAAATTTTAATTTGAAAACTTGTAATGAAAATTTAAACAAAGATTAACTAATATAAATTTTATTATAACATGGGCTAGGTTATAAGTTTTTAAATGACACCTTGATCATAAAAATATAATAAGTAAACGGAGTAAAAAAGGATTTAACAGATAAAACCCCTAATGAATAAAAAATATACGTAAAAATTATACATAATATGATTTACTTTTAATTGCCATTATACAATGTTCATCCCTTAAAAATTGGTACCATAAGGTTTGCATAGATTTTTATATTTTAACAATATTGTTAATTTATTATTATTATTGTTATTATTGTAGGTCAAATCTAAAACAATGGCAGAAATGTTTGAGAACATTCTAACTAAAGTAGATGACACTGAGCCCGCAAGGAAGGCTGTACAGAAGCTATTGGTGCAAACTTGTAGCGAGAGAGACTTCTCAAGCCAAGAAGTTCTCCATCTAACAACTGGGAAAAAACTATTTTCTGCATCAAGGGCTTTTGTAAAACTGAATTTCGGAGGAGGAGAGTGGATCCCTGCTAGAGTACATCAAGAGCCGACAAGTGAACATGTAGTAAGTGTATTAAATTATTAAATTACTGATCAAACAGATATAGAAAAAAACATAATGATAATTTTATTGATATGTTTTAATTAACTGGTATAGAAAATAAATATTACATAAACCTTTTAATTTTAGGTGAATAATGTGCTTAAGAAAAGTGTTATTTAGGTTTGTCAAATGCCAAATTTTCTCACAACAACATTGATATTACGGTATTTATTTTTGTTATAACAAATGATAAGATTTTTTAAATTAAGATATCTATATACAATTATTTATTGAAAAGCTATTTCTAATAACTAATCGTCAAAATTATGTTAAAAAGTAAATGTTAAATATTCAACGATATGAAATTTTAAATTGAAAGTTTTAACACAAACAAACTGTTTACGTATTTAAATTAGTAACAGTTAAAAATCGTAGTTTTCACAGCAAATAAAATAAATACAATAGTTGTAATGAACACTCTTAAAAGGTCAATCATATATTTAATTTCCTTTTCTAGGATGAACACGTTAACACCTCTCTCATAGAAAAGTACATCAAACGTCCTCTGGAGTTAGAGAATGTTTCACTATGGGATGTGGCAAGTTTATTTGTTCCAAAGAGGCAAGGAGCGTGGACTCGTCGTCGTGCCCCAGCTATTGTTAGCGTCTTCCCTCGAAGGAAGATAACCTCTGATCCTTCATTGAGGGAGGCCTTCTTTCGACAGGAAGTGCTCCTTAAGGTCCCTTGGCGAGATGAAAATGTAGCAAAAGGTATTACAATCTATATAACCACAGTCAATAATCATGATAATTGTAATCACCTAAATTTTAATGTTTTATATAGTACTAGCAGAGTACCTGTCCTTTGTACGGGGTAGGAATACAAGTTAGAATGCTCATTGTAGTTAAACTCGTGCTTTGCGTCTGCAAAGGGAGAGGAAAATGTTTGAATATTTGGTTATTTTAATTAATAGCATGATATAGTATAGCACATCTACAATAGCCATAATGTTCCATTTCTGCCCCTGAACAATAAAAAAATTGAAATTCTCATTTTTTAGAACTTTTTGATGCTAACTGAATACAAACCCAGCAGCACAATATACACCCAGCACCTGAGCACAATATACCAAAGAAGCGCAATGTCTTTATATAAAATTCGGTCTTGAAATATTTGAATTTTGGATGGGTTCAAATTAGATGATAATTCAAACTAATAGTGCTGCACCCTGTTGATATACCTTATAACTTTTTAATGCTATTTAATATCATAGAACCAACTTCTGTAGTTGAAACAGTCAACAAAATTATTTTGTTCCTTTTAAATGGGAATACTCATAAGGTTAACATGGGAAATTACAGATCCACTGGGGCTTCGCCCAAAAGTATTTTTGAGATAAGAATAGTCTATATGTTAATCGGGAATGTAAGCTATCATCATACCAAATTTCAGCCCAATCCAATCAGTATTTTTCACAATTACTTGTCACAAAAATCAATCCATCCATACATATATCCAAACAGTCTCACTTATATTATTATTAGGATAGAATTTGTATATTGCTACATTCACATCAAACCTGAATTGGTAGTCATGCTTAAATGCTCAACTATGTATTTTAGAATTCTATTAAAAAATATTAACAGAATGCTATTAATATTTGAAAATGGACAACATTTTCATATCTATTTAACACTCAGTGGTTAACTGTCATAATCAGTCGCTGATCTAAGAGTTAAAAACCAACAGTTGAACCAAGATTTAGGGGAAGCTTTGTATGATTTATTTATTAGAAGTAAATGAATGATTACGTTTGATGGAAAATCTGTACTTGTATAGATTTATTTTAAGCTCAATATTTTGAAAATCGGTTGGGTAGAAGCCAAATGAACTAGGAAAATAAATTACCAATCTCCAATAAGAAATGTACAAGGAGGAAGTTGCTTTTGAGCATAAATGTTTGTCAGATAATTAATGCCAATACTTGTTTGCAAATCTGTACGTGTATACCTTTAATTCATGGTCAAAATTATGAAAATCAGCCGGGTAGAAGGGCCGAACCAACTTTTAAAAGAAAAAACCAATAATTTTTAATATATAGGTTTGAGTTAATTTTAAATATTATCATTTATTTGCTTCTTAAAAGTGATTCTATCTTCGTATTTATTGGTTTATATTTAAATTAATAAAACCGTCCACAGTTGTCTTACTTTCTAACCTCAATATTCAAGTATACGGTACTCAATTTTATCCAAAGTTTGCGGGATTTGAGGTAACCACGGTCCCAAAGACTTTCGATAATCGAGAGTGTTACTGTACTCGTACATTAAGATAAAATAATTTTGAGAGTCACGGTTACGGTGTAGCTGATTAATTAATGGAAAAACATTCAAAATCCTATTTAAGAGGTCTTATTTCAATATATAGATTTGTATTGAAGTATATTGATTATATCTCACAATATCAAACTACTGTGCATGTTTAACTACTTAATTTTGGTAGCTACAAAAATGCAGAACTTTTTTTACCAATTTTGTTTCTGGGTATAGAAGAAACTAATTAGTAGTTCGTTTATACTAAAAATGATAGATGTAACTAATTGTTAATCTCATTTTTATCACATTGTTATAGGTACTTTTCAGTCATGGGAAGAAGCATACAATTTCCTCCAAGTTCAAGGAAATCCATCTCTGGATATTCCAATTCCTGATGACGACTATGAAGAAATTCCAGCGTCGCAGGAGGCAATTCCTGGAGACGAATGGATTGCTGTATCAAAAAAAATGCCGAACGGAGGTGTTGATCAAGTAGAGCCTGGGAGGCGCGAAATTGATGTTCAATACAACTGGAACGCCTCATCAGCAATATTTGATGATCCGGCTCTTCTCAGGAAGCATTTGGAATCCTGCAAACGACTTGACATCGAAGTTCCGGAACAACAGTCCACTTCCATAGAATTGAATGCAGAGCAGCGCCAGGTGATAAATTAATTTAAACATTGAGTTTTCATAAAACTTCATTTTCAATTAAAATGAAATGTTCCAATTAATTACAATTACAGTAATATTAATATTATTGTAACAATGTACAGTGCCATGGGTCAAATACTATCTGCGATAAAATCCTTTGATTAAAACCCTTAGAGAAATGGATCCTTGAAAAATTCCTTCATTATTTCTGACAGTAAATAATATAAAGATTTATTTCTTAATTAATAGTATCAATTTGGTTCATAGTTACCACGAGAGTGGTGAAAAAAATCAATACTAAGAAAACATGGAATAACTGAAGTTGGGTTGATAATTTTATTGTTTTATGTTAAATTGAAGTGACTAAATTCCAAGGTATCCAGTAACCACTGACTGTAGATGATAAATTATAAATGTGTAACATAGTGTTTTCTAAAATTTTCCCCTTAATGTTTTTTTTATTATCAATCACATAAAAAACATTTTTAGGTTTTGGCCATTCTTGATAGCCAAATAAGTGCAGAGCTGCATGGATCCCCTAATGATGCCATTCAGTTGGTTATCATACAAGGGAAAGCCGGGTGTGGCAAAAGTACAGTGATTAAGACTATGACATCTCGCCTGAAAGAAACTCCTGGCCTGGGTAGTGCTAGCTATCTGTTGCTCGCCCCCACAGGGTCTGCTGCCCTAAACATCAACGGCAACACAATTCACGCTGCTTTGAGCATACCAGTCAGGACGTCAGGTTACAGACCTCTTGAGGGAGCTGCCAAGAAGAGGTGAGATAAAAAAATTCAATGGATTTGCCTAAATTAACTCAATATATCATAGATTATTGTACAGAAAAATTGTTTGGACATTGATCAATTTATACTTAGTTTAAAATTAAATATAAGCATCAAGGGTGATTTAATTCATAACATTGATAAAAATATACCTTGAAAAATCAAAAACTATTAAAAGTTTAAGTAAACGGATTTTATACTTTTAACCATTGAATTTTGATTTAGGGAAACATCAACTTAGTAGTGTAGATTAGTGTTATATTTCAATTATATACTGAGAAAATCAACAGTGGTAAACACATTACTTTGTCCCAATGTTTATATGACCCAATAATGGGGGAAAAATAAAATAACCTCCTAATATTTAAACATACTGTACATTAATAATATCAGTTAATATAATATTATAGCTTTATGTATATTAAATCTACTATATTATGGCCTAAATCTGCCGATTATAAATATCTGTGTCACATACCTGCGTACTCTATTCCCAAATAAAATGCTATATCTTACTTATTTCTTAATAAATGTTGATAAAACTCGGTATGTAGCTTCATATAGTTGAGATCTCCTTTGCTATGGCTTAAAATCCCTGATATAGCAAATTTACCATGTAGGGAATAAGCTATAGCCCCAGGCAAAAATGATCGAGTTTTGATGAAATTTGGAACGAACTACAAACGTTTAAACATACATTTATTCGAACGAGTTTGCGAACCAGCATGATTGGACTAAGGGAAAAGGGGTTCATGGAAGGTTTTGTGGAGTAAACATTGGATTTCCCAATTTTCAACCCTAAAAACAAAAAAAAATAGCAATTTTTTTTAAAACCATTAAATAGAATAAAAAAAACAAATAACTTAAGTTGGTGTATTGATAATTGTCATGCGCTTAATGGTTATGCGAGAAAAATTAAAAAACTGTAATCATATGGAACATAAATAAACAAATGTAGTTTGCTGTTTTATAGATATATTTTGATAAAATTTAGCATATAAATTTAATTTTTCCTTTAGGCCCTACTATAAACATTTAGTAAAATTACCTCTTCCCTTCTCTGTAGCAGCAAACCTAAGAACTCGTTAAACTATGTTATTTAGATATTGAAAATTAATAATGTCTTTTTAATGAGATATCAACCAGGCAAATGCAAATTTGCTTAATCTGCAAATTTGCTGCAGTGGGGGTATTTCTATTATGTTTACGTTCAACAAAATAAAAAAAATTAAATGCTTTACAGATTCCTTGAAGACATGGATAAGATCCGTTTCATCATCATCGATGAGTATTCGATGATAGGACTTTCACTTTTTGGGATGATAGAGCAAAGATGTGCAGAATCCAAGCCTCAGTGTAACTCTCAGGTAGTAATTTATATAAAAGTTTCATAATGAATTTTGTTTTTGGCATTTACTAATAACATATCACATTGAAAAATTATTATTCAGTTTGAACTATTGTTATTACTCTCCTCAGCCCTATATTGAGTTATACACAGGTTTGGAACTATTGTGATTAAACATTTTTTTCCATCTTCTAACACACATTTTTTTTAAAGTTCAAAATCTTGTTTTTTAATTAAATAAAGAAAATATCAGAAAATATAAGAAAATATATTTTGTGTACCAGAGGTAGAAATGATTAACATTTTAGTATTAGGATTGCATTCTCTATCTCAATTCTGAAAAAATAATATTATTTGAGAATTTTTGGGTTTAAGTGAAATTTAAAGCTCTAATTGTAGTACAATATTAATTACCTATATAGATTGCTTGTGGATATAAAATAAATCTAACCAAACTAGCTGTCCTTGTCTATAATTATTTATTAATTTTTAGATTTTTGGAGGGATTCGTATCTACCTCATAGGAGACATCAGACAGCTACCCCCAGTTGCAAGCAAACCACTCTATTCCCCATCAGCGAAGAGTGAACTTGAAATAAAAGGAGCATTTGCTGTGTCTCAGTTCCAACATGCTGTTGTCTTGACTCAGTCAATGAGACAGACTGATAACACCTTTAGGTAAGCCCATGAATTCGATAAAAAAAACTTTGACAATTATTATTATGGCATTTCATAGTGTAAATATTGAATTATGGCTAAATTGAATAATATTTATTTATTTTTTTTTTGTCCTAAGGACGCTAGGCACGAGCCTGGGATTGTTTTTCACATTACTTCAGGCTAGACCTAGGGGTTGCGGCATTATCACTTAGATAAAATCCATTGGTGACTTGGCGGGGATCGAACCCGGGACCTCAGGGACTCAAGTCCCGCGCTCTAACACTACGCCAGCTCGCTCCCCAAATTGAATAATATTAAGTATTTCATACTAGCGGCTGACCCCATGCCTTGCAACGGGATATAAAGCACTACTTTATGGACAATACTTGAAACATTTTGGTTAAACTGAAACAGCTACTTACATATTAGTAAACAGATTTCTGTGAAGCATTCTGTGGAAACAGTGTGGCACTATTTCAAATTATGACTAATGCAGAGTTTTGTGATTATTCAAACCTACAAAACAGTTGGTGAATGTAATCATATGCTTAAATTATATTTACTTGTAAACATTGTCATTCCAAAAGTCTGACACTGGACCTCTTAAAAATCTCTGGGTTTCGGAGTCCATATGTCATATACATACAAACGCACTTCGTTTTTTGTAGATGTAGATTTCGACACCAGCATGGCAACCTATAAGGCCCATGTCATTTATTTTAAATTAATTTTATGTGCTTATTTTTGCCTTTATCATTAAAGAGATTCTGCACATCTACAGTAAAATATCTTTCTAACAATATGCGTAGATGTTCCCTGCGATGCAAACGAGCTGAGAAAAAAAATATAAAGAGATTTTCTTGCCTATTAATATATAGATGATATGTATTAATAATATATAACAATTTCATGTAGACTATGGAAATTCTTAATTTTTTAATGTGTATGTCATATAAGCATTTCATATATAAGTATACTGTGACTCTTTACTAAAAAAAAAAAAATAAAATAACATAGTTTTGAGAACAACAATAAACCATTACATAATTTATAATTATTTTTTATAGGCAAGCCCTTGACGAGGTTGCCAGGGGTCGTTGCACGGTCGCAACATATGCAGTTTTCAGTAACCGCTTTTATATCAACTTGACAGAAGAAGAACGACGAAACTTCAACGATGCCATTCACATATTTTCCCTGAGAATGACGGCTAAAGCTTTCAACCTAAACCGACTACTAGGCCTGCATTCCCCAGTAGCTCGCATCCCTGCTAAACACAACAACTTGGTGGCAAGTCAGGGAACTAGCGATGACGCTGGAGGTCTCCAGAAGGTGATCTACCTCGCGGAAGGAGCTTTAGTTGTGCTCAAGGCCAACTTGTGGGTGGCTTCTGGGCTCGTCAACGGCGCCATCGGCGAAGTCGTGGCAATTGTATATGAGTCTGGAAAATCCACCCCAAATGATCTACCAATAGCTGTCATGGTGAATTTCGCCAATTATTCTGGACCGAGGATGCAGCGAGATACATTTCCGATCTCTCCGATAATAAGATCATGGAAGAAAGGAAATGCAACTTGCACAAGAGAGCAGATTCCTTTGGATTTGGCATGGGCATGCACAGTCCACCAATCTCAAGGCCAAACATACGACCGGGTAAGTTGTCATTTGATTTTAGGCAAAATATAAATTATAATCTAAAAATAAATAGCTATAATGTATTTTTATTATATACATGACAATTATTACATATTACATACATGTTAATACTATGGCAATTCTTCAATGGGTTTAAATTTAAAGGCAATAGTATTTATCAATCTACAGTTACGTTTGCATTTAATTTGCTAGGTTCGTATAACTAGACAATTCCATATACTATAATTACTATAATTTATGGTGCACGTCCAAATAATTTCTAACATTTACAGTTTGATTTACTATTCATAATTCCTGTACCTGCTTTATAAATCCGTTAAAATATACCAACATATATTAAGTTTCCATTTCAGTATATAAATAAATTACTTTTATTATTTTTCAATCATCTAAATTTCAAACATTAGGGCCTGGATAAGGTTTGCCAGAGTGTATTTCAATAGCAAAAATAGGTCTATGTGTTGTTTACGAGTAATAACAATCTACATATATAAAATCATGTAAAGTTTATCAAAGAATCTGTTTTCCAAACAAGAAACTAATAACTTTTAGACTTATATAATATAAATGAAATATGTAAAATTTATCGTAAAATATTTAAAATCATACCTCCTCAACTGAGCTCAATCAAAATATAATCGACAAGTCTATAAAACCCCCATTTTATTGAATTTCCCTTTAGGACAAGAATCTATTACCGTAGGTTGTGTGGTAAGCCTTTAAGATTGAAACCGTTATACATATTCGTTTTGAAGCCAATATATGCCAAAAAACACTATTAGTTCATTTTAATATGTATATGACTGTATATATATTGTCAGTCAGCACAATAGTAATCATGAGAATAGTTCGTTAAAATTTTAAACGTCTAAAATAACAGATGCTTAGAGATTCAACTTTCTAACAGAAAAGTTAAAATGAATTATTTGGTTTTTATGTAATAATTTTAAATTATTATTAGGTTGTCGTGGACTTGGGGCGTACAGAGTTCACGATCGGTCTCTCCTACGTTGCTCTCTCTCGCTGCAAGACGTTGGATGGATTGGCAATCAATCCACCATTTATCAGAAAGCGACTGGATGATTTGCATCATAAGAATTCTTTGAAGGTTAGCACTTTTGTGATGAAATAATATTATAGATATAAATAAACTATTTTCAAATTTTATAAACTTAATAAAGAGTAACATTTGTAATTAAAATAATCATTAAAACAAGTAGGTGCCTATTAAAAATAAATATAAATATAGCAAGTTTATTATACTTTCATTACCTATCAAAATGAATTTTTTGTGGAATGATAATCTCAAACCCCCATGATCATGAAATATTTTAAAAATAATAAGAATGTAATAAAGTTTTATTATATTGCAATATTTTACCATCAGGACAAACTGCAAGCAGAGGGTAACATCATGAAGATGGCTCAGGGTTTGCCCTTTCGGTTGTCATCATTTATACCTGTGAGGTGTCCACAACCACCTGCACCTGCTCCATCCCCACCATCTTTACCTGCTCCACAACCACCACCTGCACCTGCTCCACCACCACCACCTGCACCTGCTCCACCACCACCACCTGTACCTGCTCCACCACCACCACCTGCACCTGCTCCACCACCACCACCTGCACCTGCTCCATCCCCACTTCACCGACCCAAGACTCCTGCTCCACCACAACCTTCTGCACTGCGGGAAGAGACAGTCAGAGTACACGAGGGAATTGTGACCGTTGTCGTGATGCCCGGCGACGGTCATTGCCTTTTCTCGGCTGTCCTTCACCAGCTTGGACTCTCTTCCCCCATTAACCCCAATCATATGGAATTCGTCAAAAATTTACGAAAAAGGGTTGTGGAGTATATTCGTCAGCAGGACTTGCATTCCGGTACATAAATATAACAATCAAACTAAATATACTGTAATATGTATTTAAATTAGGTAAAAAGAAATAATTAGCTGAATATCTAGCCACAATTCAAATTCAAATGCGACCACTAATAAAAATGCAAAATATTATATAAATACATCCCTTGCAGCAAACCTGTATACTCAGCGAACTTTAATTGATTGAATTAATAATTTAAATAAATATTCAAATCAAGTTTTGTCATTGTATGTTCATGAAAAAACGTACAGAAAAATTCCCTAAAATAATAACAAGCTGCTAACAAAATTCAAAACACCCCTGTTTTAGCACACCTGCAGTATACATGAATTTCTATTTGCCTGTTTTAATTTTCAATTCAATCTATTTAAAACACATTAGGTTTAACAATTACCTAGGTTTACTGCTACAAGCAGGGTAAAAAGGTGTATTGTTAGTAAAATATTAATAGCTTGGTATAAATTAAACAAATATGCAAAGTTTGATCAAAATTTTTCGATAAACCAGCAAACTATAACAGTTTTACTTATTCTCAGCAGAATAACCTTTAGAGTTTTAAATAATTTTTTTAAAAATTTTATCCATAAACAACAGTCGTAAATAAAACTTCAATATAGCACATTAAATTAGTTTATTACTAATAATTTACTTAAATAACTAATTAATTATTACTTAATTTATTTATTTAGTCTATTCAGAATAGTTTGTAAAGAAATCGGATTTTTTAAAATTTGAAGGTCAAAAATTAGAACCCCCACTTTTACCTTATTCAACCCCTTTAAAACCCCATTACCATGGTCCGATCATGCTGGTTCAAGAACCTGTACAAAGTTTTATCAAAATCATATTAATTTTCCTCGAGATATTGTGCCAACGGGCACACATACTTGGGGAAATTCGCTAAAAGGGAATTTCATGGTATAATTCAACTCAACTATATGAAACATCATAACAAGTTTTAAAAAATAAGGGAGATCCTAGAACTTTTCTTTATTTTCTATTGGGTCATTGAGACAGTTTAGTGTGTCTACCTTTATCAATATCCTGTTGCCACTCGACAATAAACTTGAGTTTTTCTATAATTTATTCAATTATAGGGCACACACAGATATTACAAACAATAAATAGATTATGACATACACATCTTGATTTTAGCAAATTTCCCTATAGAAAAGTCAGAAGTAGCTAATACTGTAAGTGGGATGATAAGACCTGGGTCCGGGACCGATTTACTCTTTTATTTTAATGTCCCTAAAGGCCAAAAACACCATTCGTTTGAATTATATATAAATTGATATATGTATATACATATAGATTTAAATATATATATGCGTACGTGAACACAATAACTATTTTTTCAGATCTTGATGAAATTTGGTTTAAAGTGTAAGGTGGGATAAACTTGAATAGGTTTGCCGATCTGCATGATCGGACCATGGGAACGGGAGTTTATGGGGTAAAAATTGAGTTTTGCCACTTTTACAATATACCTTGTTATATAAAAAAATCAACAAACTTCGAAAAAACGAAATGCAATTATATAGAAATTTTATTTGATAAAATTAAATTTAATATAGGGCTAATCAACATTAGACCTTAAGTATAACATTATTGTATCGATATTAAATAAAATTACTTAAAATTATTAGGTTTAATAAAAGTTTAATGTTACAGGCCTTTGGCGCGCACAGCTGGAGGACTCTATAAGTGCCAACTTGACGAAATATCCAGCAGTGCGAAATGGAGTTATTGTTCCTTGGGAGGAAAGGTTGAATTGCTTCCTGGAAAATCTTTCTGTGGACGAGTGGGGTGGCACCGAAACCATTGTGACCATCGCTCAATTGCACAATATAACACTTACAACATATTTCGAAGACGGTGGTGATGGTTTTCGGTGTCAAAGGATCATCTCAGGGGGGGAGAGTGATAGGGAAATTGCTATAGTGTACCGGCTCGCAGCTGTTAGGGGATGTGCTGGCCCTGTGAGTCGAGTGCACTATGACAGTTTAATTTGTTTTAATTAAGTGAGTTTGTATATACGTATATTTTAAACTATTTATATATATATATTTATTTTTATTATTTATTGCTGTATTATTATTTTTGTAATTTGGTTAAATAACCAATATTAAACATTAATTGGATAGTTTCACTACAATCATTTTATTTCAGTTTAACAGTTTTAAATTCATTGGCAATTTCAAATTACTTGTAGCTTTCAAAAGTATGGAAAATGGTATTACCAATTTGAAATACTGTAATGTGTTACAAAATCAAAAGGTTATAGCTAAAATTTTATGAAATTTCTGAACACATTGCCATTTTCAAAGTAAAGAACAATCCCCATAATTGTCAAGCAATATCGCTACAATGTAAAGTAATTAAAACAAATGACTCCAGATTTGAAAATAATGACTTAAGTTTTATTTGAAATAAGAAGAATAATATTACACACACTTGAAATCTTAGTAGGCCTATTTATGCTCTTACTGTACATAAGGGTATAATTGTAAGAGTAAAATTGTGTTAATAAAATAGTTTGTAACATAATCATTTTACAAAATCCTGTATTTTTGTGAAAAATTATTATTCCAAGTTCTTTATTCTTTGACAAATTAATATAACCATTGACAACAATTAATAAACGGTTACAATATTATATTATTCTTTGTTTCAAAATAATTATCTATGTGTGTGTATATTATGAAAGAAACATATACAAAAATATAAAAATTGTTGTACTAATGCACATTAAAATAACTATTCTGAGTTCACTCATCCCGTTACGCGCAGAATAAGCGTACTCCTAGTAGCTAAAAGATCATTTAATTACAAAATATAGTGTTACATAAAGCACAACTGATGGGGTTATTAACTATATCATAGATAAACTGTGGATATAAACACTATCCAAATTAACACATAAACACAGCACTTCTATTAGTTTATTGTCTAATAGTAATGTTCTAAACTAAAAGTTTGTAATGTGCCTAGTGACGCTCGAATTCAGTTAAACAGAAGATATAAATGCACCCGACGCACCTGGGGCAAATGTCACAATCCAGAACTAATTAGTCTGGCCTTGAATTACCTTTATTATCTAGGTGTCTTCTTGTGCACCTCCATAGCTAAACCTATGAGAACTTACATGCTTTTAAACGTTAATTTATATGAATATTCAAAGCCAAGATTGTAACCACAGCATTTAAATTGATTAAAGTTCATGGAAAATTTAATAGCTGATAACTCCAAGATACCCCAAGCCTGCACAATATCAAGTCGATGACACAAATAAAACACATATTTCATGAACTTGGTGTTTTAATTATTCTAAACTAACAACAAATATAACAATGATAGTCTTATTTTGGTGCGAAACCATGTTTTCTGTTTCAGCCGTTTTTCTCTCGTGGTTATCTTCTTTTCAACGAGAGAAGATATTTGTATTCAGTTTATGTATCAGCAACTTAGCTTTATTCTTAATGTACAAATTCTACTAAAGGTACACTAAATGTTAATTAAAAAATCCTAATTAAGATATAAAACAAAGTATAAAAACTACCTGATTAGGTACATTGACTTTTCGTTACATATGTTTTTTGCCTTGAATGTAAAATAAGTGAAAGTGTGTGTGTCACAGTCAAAATGAGAAGTTGTTGGTGGGCGAACCACACTAATACCAGGACAACTCAGTGAAATGTGGCTACAGTCCTCGTTAGTCTAGCTGGAAACTTCCAACAGGTGAATATAATTGGTCTAAAACCTGTTAACATTGCACTCTTGAACAAAATTTGTAAAACAATAAAATATAAAAACTAAAAAAATATTTAGGCTGCTTAGTTGCAAGAAACCTTAGCACTACTTAGTCTAGAACAAATAGTCGTTCGTTCTTCGTGTCCAATGTATATGTACATTTCTAATTTTATGAGGAATTAATTACAGTTGGGTACAAATATTTATAGTGCTCACCTAACAATATACAGTTGCCGGATCGATCCAAAGAAATGTCACAAAGTTTTTGATAGTTTGAAACTGAACTCAGCTGTCCCTGATCATTGCGCTAATAATCGGTGATCGTAGCTAAAGAAACAGGTAGTCGTGGTCAATAACAAAGCTGCAAATGCATCTCAATACATAACACATATATTTTTCACTTATATTTGGATGAAAGTTATAATAATAATAAAGTGTGATATTACTTTCATGCACTTCAAGGATCTATATAATACTTACACTTGGATACTAATAATTTTTTACTCAGAACATGATAGAACATAACCTTAATACGAAATACCTTGTTCTTGGTCACTATGAATAAAATGTTTTAAAACTGCGTTTTGTTTGAATATATTGAATATCAAATATTTTTATGGAAATCGTATTAATATTGACCGTGAAAAAGAGCGTAGAAATTAGATGGATTTCGAATTCTATCCACTCATATTTTGTCAGTATTTCATCGTAAATTAAAAACATAATCGAGCCGTCTTTTTAACTGAGCCTGTGTCTGTACTCTTTCTCCACAAGGCTGTCCGTGAAGTATTGAAAAAGGGAAGATTCGTAGAACAAAAATAAACGAACGGAAATAACTGTTTGATGTGTGATTAACATTTAATTTTAGTCTTCTGCAAAGATCACCACTATCTGCAAAGATGAAATGCGCAAGAAATAACATTTGCGAGAGTAATAACACTAAATACAATTGTATTACCAACTAACACGTCACCATGATCTTTTATCTCAATGTATACGTACTTTAGAAGTCAATTTTGCTAGAGTAAGAGTCAATAAAATAGAGAGGAATTTAATTCCCTTTTACAGTTGCTCACAACTTGATCTTCACAGCTACCCACGTTCTATAGTCACGTGTCTCAATAGATGAAGAATTTTAGAGTTTAATTAAATCAGAGTAATGTGTCAATAAAACTCAAAGTAATTCTATCACTTCCACTGTAGCATGGCACTAAATCTCACCATGCCTCAGTTAAACCAATTTGACTCTGAAACAATTACCCCTATATACAGACAACCCTTTTTCCATGTATGTTTTTTTAGCATTTCGTAAAAGTTGGTTTATACATACGTATAATTCAATATAGTTTTATAAGTACTGTATCCTAATTTAATAAGTTAAACAATTGACATATTACAGTGGTGTATAGTCAATAATAGTATTAATAAATGTTTATTTATTTAACAAATCAAATATCTGATGTTATCTGTTTTATTGTAAAGATATTGGCAATTACATTTTTATCTGAAGGAAATAAGAAAATTAATAAAGGGTACACTTTGTTGAAACAGTGTGTGTACATGATAATATTTTTTAATTTGATTAGTACTCTATAAGTTTGCCTCTTACTCAAGATAACGTAATTCATAATAGTACAGTGAGTCCGTACATGTAGGCCTACAGCTTTTTGAAGTGCTGCTAAATTACTGTTCTTCTTTTCAATGAAACATACAAATATATAAAAACACACCCGGCTTACAGATATGCTCTATAGTTCAAAGTCATCAGTCGTGATTAATTAATAACTGATCTTAATAAGGTATATGAATGGTAGTAATATACCGTATATAAATGTTTCGCATTGTTAATTAAGTAAATCATTTCTTTCAGATAAGAATAAAGATAAACCTTTTATTTATTTTTTTAAGTTCCAACTTTGGGAAAAACTTCAATGGCGTGTAACATTTCATATAATATTGGTTTGTCAATAACTTATCAAAAGTTTGTCGTTTAATCAAGTTAAAAGCAGACCATCTGTCGTCATAGGGCCACGATAAAATTGTATCAATGTACGATGCACCCTGGCCTTACTTCACTCACGTATTTGTCAGTTTTATAAGGTAATTTAACAATATATCGATGAGTAACACGTTCCTTAAACCTTTTAATTTTAATTCATAACCTCTTATAATTAGAAACAGACTTTATTAGACATTCTGTGAACTAGGTTGCTCGGTATGTCATTGAATTGCAGTTGGTATGCAATTGGTGTTAATTATTGGTGGACATTGAAGTACGTTACAGTAAGTTAACGAAATTTATGTTAATATGATACAAGGCTGTTTACACTACACAATGATTTTTAATATTAAATCACTTTTACAAATAAGTAGATGAAATTATATTTTCCAGTTCATAAAGTTTTTAAACTAGTTATTTTAAAGTTTACTATAAATGGAGTGTGGCCCTTCTTAAATTTTCTATTCTTTTTGTGTGTATACAGTATTCACGTACAGATAAAACGTATATTAAGTCCTAAGAGAAACCTTAAAGTGGTCAGCAATATTTTTCTTACATTAAACTCCTAAATAAAATAGATAAATAGGCCTAGGCCTATTCGGTTTTATAAATTCATTAATCTACCTATACTCATTGGTTAGGGACTTTCTTTTCGAAATAAAATTTGTTAATAATATAAAACTAATTCAGACAAAAAAATAAACCTGAAAATGTTTAAATCCTAATAAACGTTGTAAAATATTTATTCTAAAAAATAATACTCAATAAGATTGTACTTTCTGATGGTATCAATCGGAAGACACCAATATTTGTAAATACAAACGCTAACAACTATACCACGAGCGCTCCGTTAACTTTCATACGCGATGGCTATAAATGTGTTGGTATTAGTGTTTTTCATTGTATACAGTATTTTGTTCTTAGTAGGTTAACTTGTTTACAAAAATAACTATTGATGCAACTTTGTCGAAGTTTGTGTAAGTTGACTAAAGAACACTCCTCATGGTGGGGGGGGGGCCTGAATTACACTGTAAGAATAAAGGTGTTTCTTTGTGCCAATTCCAAATAAAAGTAACAAGTATACAAACTTTACTCTATTATAATTACGTTCAATGTAAAGAAAAAAAACAGTAAACACACCAGCCACTAGCAACTTATAAACTCGCTGATAGCTCAAGAAATAGATGGAACCTGTCTTACATAAGCGGCTCTGAAGAAACTCTGGTTAATTTTATATTTAGTTTTACTTTGTTTTGTATATTTTGATGGATA